AAGAAGCGGCGGCAGCAGAACTTCTGAGCCACGGGTAGAACGTTCTTCCATCCTCAAACAATCAGCCCCTTGCTTTTGTGACTACTGAACAGATTGATTTCTATTGAAATATGCTAGCAAAATAGAGGGCAATACTTCTGCTCGTTTATTTTTCCATAGCACCTTTGTGAACTCAGGAATGCCATTACGTGGAAAATCCTGATTGTATGTTTTAATGTTAGACATATATTTAAAACATTATTCCAAAAGAGTTCTGTTACTGTTTTTAGGAGGATTGTTTTTAAACCAGAGGAACCAGATAGAAATAGGCTAATGAAAGTTGGCTCACTCTCTTTTCAACTGAACTTTCAGGAGTCCGTTTTGGTTTAAGTTAATACAGGTTGTTGTCTGTAACAGCTGATTCTTTTGTGGGTATTTTGTTTTTCTTTTCCTTTGTGAATGCACAGACTCAATTTCAAGCTGTTAACTGTTTCTACTGTTAAGGTACTGATAAGTTTTAGGTCACTGAAGAGAACAGGTGAGAACATGTACAAAGTTTCTTTTGAAAGAAACTTAAATCTCCGTTTTTAAAAAGCCTCTAATAAGCCCCATGCCTTACACTGTGTGCTTTAAGCAAGTGTGATTTCTTCAAGACCTCAGTTTTGTCTCTGTTTTGTGTACTTCATGAATTTGTACGATCATGTTGTGCCTCCATAAGAAATTACGTTCTGTAATTTACAATCCACACCCACTCAAAACCAAAAGCCAGTCAGTGATCTGATAGCCCTTTGTCTGTCTGTTTGGAAATGTCCTTCAGGGAGACCCTGCTGAGAATGGAGTGCTGGGAAAAGGAAACAGCATTTGAATGGGTAGAAGTTATGTGAGCCTCTCTCAGGAATTAGGTGCTTCAGCTGTGTCTTAGAGGACTTAAAAATCTCCACAGCTTGTGAAATATTTTATAGGCTTCATTTCAAATTTACATCTTTGGATGCTTGAATGAAAACTTGACTTCACAATCCTTCACATTTCTGCAAGGTTTAGCACATCAGGAGAGTCAAACTGAAAGTAAAGACTGTTGAATTAACAAAGAGGTGCATTTATGGTGGTGGAGCAAAGGCAGAGTTGATCTGGATGAGAAGATAATTGCCAGTGTCCTGCTGGAAGAGGTTCAGTCTCTTCCAGTTCTTCTGGATGTTCTTGTGTTGTTTGTTTGTTTTTTAATTTCCCTGCTGTCCCTGCCCAGCACAGCTCAATCAACCGCAACGCCCCAAGCATGTACAATCACTGTGAGGACGGTGCAATCAGCTCACATCAGTGGAGAGTAACACAAAGCCTGTTTGCAGGGCAGAGACTGAGCAGTGCCTCTGTCCTGTGGGCCCTAACAGCACAGCTGTGTAGTTTCACATGTTCCTAGCATGTGATGGGATGTTTGGGCAGAGCAAGTGCTTCTACCAATCTTTTTTCACTTTGCTCTGATAGAGGGAACAGTTTCCACATCATGTTTCTGAACTAGGCCTTGGTACATCACCTAGGTGATTACACAGCAGTGTCTCCTGAATCAAATGCTGCTACAGAGGTGATGTGTTCGTTTCATGTTTCTGTAGGGTCTCGTTTCCCCGCTGGAGCAGGCTCTTGGCTGCTGCTCACAGTTCTGCTCCTCAGCTGTGAAAGGAACCAAGCCATTCTTACCCTCTGCAGGGCCCCTTGCATTGGTTTGTCTCAGTGTGACAGTGCAGGGGGATCACACTGTCCCTAAGGAAAAGGGAGGCAGTAAGCAGTGCAGGTAGGATGCTGCAGGAGGAGTAGATCCTGGGATAGCCAGCAATCTGTCAGCCTCAGGTACTGGGGAACATCAGGGCTCATCTGGAACCTGTGCAATCAACTTTGCCCTGACCGTGTCTTTATGATGAGCAATTTTTATGAGCATCCTTTGCATCAAAGAAACTCCTCCAGCTGAGCAGGGAGTTCTGTGGTCAGAGTTGGATCTTGTATAAGTCACTTGGATGGGTCTGGCCCAGCACCTCTGGTGTGACAGGCACAGAGATCTGTGACATGGTGGATTCTGCACTGCCTGTGTGGCGTGGGGCAAGCCTGTTCTGCTGGAAGGATTTTTTCCTCTGCACTGTATAGATAACTGTAGAGATCAGAGGGCATTAGAAACCCCAACTTTTAGGTGAGACACCACAGGGTGGTGTCTATTTACAGAATATGCAACCTGTGACTGCTGTAAGTGAATGTAAGCACTCTTGAAATACTCTGCTTTGCTGACGTGATTGTCTTAAAATGTAGCAAACAAACCAAAATAACTAAAACTGGTCCAATGGCTTAACTGTCTTTGAACCTTTCTTAAGTGCTTGCAGTGGGTGAGATTTAATGATGTTTCTTGCACTTGGAGCTGTTGTGCAGAGGAATTATTTTCTCCTTCACTGATTTTCAATTTGTTGGAGAAAATATTTCCCTTTTTGGTCCCTGTGTAGAATGTCTGGGAGCACAGTACCTGTTCATTTCTCAAAGTCCTCCAAGCTATGGCCAAGGCTGGTACCATAAGGGAAGAATGTTTTGACAAAGTTTTAAGCAAAAAACTTGCTTAATTGTGAAGCTGTATTCATGTGCTCCTTGGGTCCATCTGCATTGTGGAAAGGGTTCTGGACAAACCATTCTCTTTGCTTCTAAAACCCAGAGATACTGATGGTGTCAGTCATGTGAGACTTACAAATGTGAAGTTTGTAGCTTTAACTTTTTTTGTAACAAAGAAATTAGCAACACTGGCATAAACTGCTGACTTGAAATGCTGTTTTGTAAGATCTGGCTGTTTGTATATAATAGTGTTGGGTCTTTAGTTTGTATATGTATGAAAAGGTAACTTTTATTGCATTCCTCTCAGTTTGATACAGGAGATTTTGTTTGATCTTTCTCAAATATCTTGCCTTATTTGTTCAAAGGGGCAAATAAACTGTCCCTACCTGAAAGCATCAGTGTTGTGACTCATATTTATGCATTGCAGTACTTTGGGGTGTTGTTGTTTACCAGGACAGGTTTTAACATGGTGCACCTCCAGTCAGCCAGTGCAGGGCTCTGGAGAGCACAAACTTTCGGGAGCACAGGCGGTGAACGTGTCAGACACACGATTAGTGATGTTTATCACTAATTCTGCAGCTTGGGGTGAGATTGCTTGAGCAGAGGGGCAGCTCCATGTTCTGGCAGCTCTGTGGGGGTTCAGGAGGTGATGCTCAGGCAGTTCCAACAGCCCTGCCTGGAGCTCCAGTCATGCAGGAGGGATGTTTGCCCCACGGGGTGTTTTGGCAGATGGGGATGCTGAGCTCTGCTGTAGGTCCTTGCTGTCTCTGCAGCAGCTTCCCTGAGCCTGCAGGCAGATTTGGGGCTAGGTACATATCAATTTATCCACCTTCCTACACAACAGGTGAGGCTAGAGGCTCACTCCTAATTCTGGCTCAGTTGCTGCACTTTGAGCTTTCTAGCTCAGAAAAAGATGAAGCTGACAGTGAGTGGGTGCTGCCTTCCAATGGTGAACTGTTGGCTTCGATGTGGTTTCCCTGAGCAGTTACTAAATCTGTCCTGGAGGGATGACTAACTGGAGCAGAGACAGAATTCATTCAGGAGTCAGCTTTGGTTAGCAATTCCGGAAGAAACAAAATAGATCTGAGCTTTTAAATGTTGGGAAGGAGCTTGGAAATCAAAGGGAGGGAGGCTGCCGGCTTTTCTAGTAACTGGGGAAGCCTGGAGCTCTCACATATTCTCAGCAACATTTCCAGGATATTGTGGAGCCCCAGAACAAAGGGAGGGAGGGTTGTGCAGCATCACCAGGGGAGTGTTTGTGTGCTGGCAGCACTGAACCTGCTGCACAAACTTGTGCATGTGACTTAACAAACCCAGCAACAGGTCCCCACGAGCTGGAACTGATGTTTAGCCTTGATCTTCTCCCCCTAAGGGAAAAAGGCAGCTCTCTACTAAGCCCATAACACCAGCAGTTTTTTAATAATTATTAGCATTAAGGTACAGGAGCTGCTGTGCCAGTGTCCTTTTTACTCAGCTACTCATTTCCTACACCCTCATTTTGTACCATTTCCTGCTGTCTACAGGCCAAAAGAGTCTGAGCTTGGATAAATGCTTTGAGCATTGGCTGACAGCCCTGCCTCGAGAGTTGACAATTTTTCATTTCACTAATCATTTTGGCAAAATTTTGAAGAGTCAAACCAGGAAATGCCCAATAGCTCTTTCCAGACTGAGAGTTAATTGCTCTTTAATTTAAGAGTCCAGGAAGAAAGCCAATTTGTTTAAAAACTTTAAAACAATTCAATTCCATCCACAAAGGACTGTCCTGCTCCCCTCTAGCTTGTTGCTGTCCAAATCAATACAGTGCTGGACGTGGAGGGAGCCCAGAGTCCCTGAGTCCACCCTGAGTGGGCACAGCAGCCTCTTGCAGACCTGTCTGTGCACAGTCAGCAGACAAATGAGCTGTAGGGTGCATTTTCCTCAGCCCAAGGTGCTCACCAGCTCTGGACCCTCATTCCTTCACTACAGAGAGCATGATGTTGAAATAAATGTGGGGCAGTTTTTCCCACGCTGCTGCTCTCACCAGACTCCAGGTCTGGATGTGAGCCTGCATTGCTGGTGCTGTGCCTCCCTGCATGCCTGGCCTGTGGTTTTTATTCCCTGAAATGGTGTGACCTGTCTAGGCACATTTGGTTAATTTAATTCCATGCCTTCCAGGCTGCTCATTTGGCTTTCTCAGATGGTTAGAATAGAAGTCTTGATTTTGTGTTTTTCCTACAATTAAGTTAGCAGCTTGGGTTCAGGTAAAGGCTAAAGTGAACCCTTAAATACATTCAAACCTCAGGGCTGTCTCACTACAAGGCAAAAGTGGTTTAGCATTATTTTGTAAAAAAGAAAAAAAAAAAGGAATTACTGCACTGTTTGTCTTTACTGACGTCCTTACATAGTTCAGCAAATAGAAGTAACACTGATTCAACATGTCAAGCAGTGTGCCCAAGCAATGAGATCTAATTTCTGCTGAGGTCAGCAGGGTTGTAGGAATCTGCAAGCAGGAGAGATCCCAGAAACACTACCAGTGAGGAGTCTTTCCTTCCTACAGATGAAGCCCTTTAAAATCTCCTGGTTTTTTGATTACCAGCCAAGTGCACAGACCATGCTCAGGGTAGTCATGGATCTGAAAGTTGGCAAAGGAAAAGAAGTTTTAAACAAAGGTAATGAAGTTTACTTTGTCTCTTTGAGCAGAGTTGTCTAATTCTCAGCTGCATTAAATAGCTTAATAAGGTCACTCCTTAATCACCATTCCCTGGAGGCAAGAGAGTCATGCTTTAGTCAATCATTTGGTGAATGTGGAAAGCAGCTTTGTAGGAATAACCTGATAAAGTGTGTAATTGATTTACCCACTGTATCAAATGAAAATGCAGCCACTCAGGAAAACTGATTAGGGATTAGCAAAAGAACATGAGTTTCCTACTTGCCTTAGAAATAGTAAGTGGGGCCTGTCCTTGCAGCCCGGTGCTGCACAGCCGTGTCTCAGCGGGGAGCGTGGGCTGTGCTCACCCACTGCTGCTGCTGCTGGCCACCTTCCTGCACCCGGCTCTTCCTGCTCTGCACAGCTCCAGCTCGGCGAGATCTGCCTGCACAGCAGTGGGAGGATTTTCCTAGTGCAGTTACTCAGAGCCATACAAATCCTAATGTCTTCACAGAGAGCAGGAGGCTAAAAAAAGAAAACGTCTTTCGTGGCTTTCCCAAACCAGAGCTTGGAGCTCTCGTGCACCAGCCCCCTCTGATGTGCCTTTGCAGCGTGGCAGAGGGGCTCACAGCAGATCCTGCCTTGCTTGCAGCCCCCAAGGTAGGGGAGCTTTTGCCTTTGCATGATTAGCACCACGTGGATTTTTAGTTTTTTTAATGGGAAAGCTCTCAAAGGAATAAAAATGAAACTCTTTTTACCCCTGACTCCTGTCACGCCCAGCAGAGTAACACACTTATCATGCCCTCCCCAGCCAGCCCCTGCAGAACAACAGCCTGGAGACCCCCCCTCATTCCAGAGCATCAGAGGCCACAGACAGCATCAGGATTTCCTCCCTCCCTGCTGTGATGCCTGGCTCCCCAAGTGGCTTCTCCCAGAGCCCACCAGCTCCAACCCATGCCCTCACACCCACCCCATGAGTGCCTCGTTCTCTGAGCCTCAGGAAGGTGGGTTATTCAAACTGCTCCAGGCAGGATGACAGCAGTGGTCCAGGCACAAGGACTAGCTGTCAGCACACCATCCAGAGCAGGGCTGAGCTGGGAGCACTGCTGTGCTCCAAGGTGGGGATGGAGCTGGCTGACAGGGACCTGCAGTGCTGTGGGAGCAGCTTGGCTGCTCCTGCTCACCTTGACCCAGCCCTGGCTCAGCCTGGCTGCAGAGCACACCCAGCTGCCACGAAACAGAAACCAGCATCCACAGCAGATCATCGAGGTCTTTAATAAAATATACAGTATGCATCCCATGCATAGATAGAAAATTAATTTACATGCTCCTAATTATTTGCATAATGCTTTTTCATTAATGGATATAATTTACTCTTCACATTTGAATAAATACATTTTGCTACTGGAATATTTATGTTGAGAAGGGGAAACTCCTTCCTGTATTCAAGTAACAGTGCAGCAGGAGCTGGTCAGAGCAGGGGGTGCTGCTCTCCAGTCCCAGCTCCCAGCAGGAATAAGCACGGAGCGGACCATGAACTGTCAGTACTGGAAGACTTGATGATGCCAGAAGCGTGAGCACCCTCCCATCCCACACCACTGTTCCTTGGGGACCTTTCCTGAGTCCCACTGGGTTGGGAAGGGCTGGACCTGCACCAGTGTTGGTTTGGCTTTCCTTGCCTGTGACCAGCAGATCGCTACAGGCAGAGGCGGCACCGGCAGCTACAGCTGTGCTGGAAGCCAGCCAGGACAACCAGCAGCAAACCCATGATCCAGGTACCTGGGGTCACCCTGCAGCCTTCAACGTGTGTTTGAGGTGGTTTGGGATTGCAGGAGGCACGTTTCTCCCACTCAAAACGGGCATTGCTGGGTGCACTCCTCTGTGTGCAACGGAGCTACACAATTTCCAGAGA